CTTCCTTCAAATGTAAAATTAACTAACCATTTTGGTTGGCCATCATAAATGATTTAAATAGCAAGAATACCCGAAATTTTATAGATTTCGGAAACTAGTTTAGGTTTCGACCTACAATAATCTTAAATTCTTAAGTATGTATAAAAAAACAATAGCGAATTTTTTTTTTTGGTTCAAACACAATAGTGACACTTTATCGGGTCTTTTTATACGAGGGTGAATATATAACGAGATAGCTACAATCTTTCGTAAAGACCGATAGATCAAAAGTACAAAATCTCTACGTATCTTATATAATATTTTAAGATTTTTCTAAATCCAAGTCATGAGAGGATATGTGTCACATATTCTTTTGATATTTATCTTTTTTTTTATTGAAAAGAAAAGAAAATAAGTGTTTTAATAACTTTAACAATTAATTCCTACCATTTAATAGCTAAATTTAATGTAAGTTAATTCCAAAAATTATAGTGTAACATAAGAATGACCAATTTCATTTTTTTTTATATCCACCAAAAATTATAATTTCATATTAAATGTGTTATTGTAAACTTTTCATGGTTTGAAAAATATATATTTTATTTGTTAAACCCATCAATATACTATTGAAAAACATTTAATCCTTTAGATAGGTAACTACGATTATAAAACAAAAATTCACAAAAAGGTTTAATAAAAAGAATCGTAACATTAACAAAAAAAAATAGTGTGAGAAAATTAATTACAATTTAAGGTTCTAACGAAATAAAATACAAAGATACATTCCAACATCTCTGTTGAGATAAAGCAGATGTCTCGATAGAAGCAAAATATACTACAACTTGTCTGATCAATATATTTATTTTACAAACGTATTTGATGCAAGAAAAAAAAGACGACCAATCATTTTTGTAGGGAACCGTAGTGAATATTGATAAATTATAAAGACATACAAGTTACGGATTTGTGCAAAAGAAGATATCTTCCATATGCATACGTTCTAATTTTTATTCATGAATAATCTATTTTTTTTACATATAACATTGTATATGTCCACCAATTTTCTCCAAATGCTTAATCTTCTAACCTAGATAATTGTTTATTATAATAACAATTTTTTGTAATATTAAATACACAAATAATCAATAAACTAAAATTTTTGCATATTAATAATAATAATAAATCGAGACAATTAAAAAAAAATTTTTTTGTATATTTTACTATGTTAATTTTAGTTGTGTGGGCAATCTCTAGTATGTTTATATAAATAAGAATTAAATCTACATGTTGAGTTGAAAGAAAAAAAATAAAATAATAAGAGTTCGTTACACTTTGTGGATCAAGGCCTTTAAGGCCCATTATAAGGAACCCGTCAAAGCCCATTGTTAGGAACCCGTCAAAGCCCAGACGAAAACGTATCTTTGACTTATTGACACGTAAAAAGAGGAACTACTCTCTGACTCACCACTTGCGGCTGTCATTACTGTGTGAATCGAAGCCATACTTCACGTTTCTCTTGCATGACAAAACCCTCTTTTGACTTTACAATCCCAAACAAAAAAA